AAAAGTGAATAGGCAAGTCCGGGGTGGTAGCACACGTGCGCACCCCTTAACTGCAAAGATGTTGCGTACTTCAACATTTTCACCGATCTAAAGCTGCCTGAGATGTTGAAGACAACGCCGCACTGCCGCAGCTCAATCCTTGGAGAACATGACACCCGAGCTTTGGGCAGCGGCACGAACAGCTGCACATGCCACATCCGTCCCTGTGCCCAGCTCAATATGTCGCTACCTTGCCTTAAAGGATTACGGGCCCAAAGTCCTCCTGAGGGGCAAGAGGTTGATTTGTTCTAGCCATTCGTCAATATGCTATTTGCCTCAAACTCATCCCAGATCGGACTTGCTGCCGAAGTCTTCACTGCCAGTCAAGCAGGAAGGGGAAAAGGGAACCGCAGCGCCCTCGCGTGGTAGACGAGATGCTCTCTTCGTGGCTGCTTGCTGAAGGCAGCTGTTAAAAACGCTTGTGAAACAGGAGCTATCTAGTTCCCCTGAAGCCGCGCCATCATGCGTGCCCTGTTTTGGCACAACTTGCCACAACACTGCTCCTAACTGCACTTAGCCAATCTGTCCGCATGCTCTCGATGAAGTTGAAAAGCTTTACACTGGAAATAGACAAAATGCTCCACTGTCACTCATGTCTGCTCTCAGTATGTAGAATGTTCCAGTAATCCTTCCGCCAGCTGTAAAAGCAGCCTGCTACCAATGCGTGCGTTCCTCTGCTCTCTCTGCCCGCTGTGACCGAACAGCATTTGACGTGCGAATTTGGCCAACACTGTGTCTTGTACAACCTTATTTCCTGGCCAGGGCACACATAAACATCCGTCGCATTCCTCGCCAGGAAAGACAGATGGCAGGGCAAAGCACATCAACGGATGACGAGTACGACCGGCCGGAATAATTCAACAAAGCATCAAGATGTATCTTCCTAGCCCATCTGTTGACACATTCGGCCACGCGAAGGGGTTGCCTCGCAAAATGCGACGACAGGGCAGCCAGTCTGAGCAAAGACATCCGTAAAATAGAATCTGCACAGGTGCTCTTCCGCCATGCGGTGACCTGCCCAGTGACCACTCCGCAGCCAGCCTCACAGGCAGCTACAAGCAAAACAGATCCCGAAGCATCCGTTTCGTGGGAAGTTGCTGCGCCTACGGACACAATCACTGGTAGGATGTCAGCAGCAGCCCACTTGCATTGTGAATGAGTGGTTCAGCTGTTTGCCTGTTTGGCCCAGAATACAGGAGACGAGTGCAGGGACTCATGCTCTCTAACACACATAGCGACAGCAAACTGACGTGCCAGAACATGCCAGAACATTCTCTTGGGAATTGCCCTGGAGAAAATGGTGCATTACCACACTAACAAGGCGAGTTTGTTATTCAATTGGACTGCCTCCTTCCTGAATATATTTGCCTTGTGCTCTATTATAACCATGGGCCTGCCCCAGGTCCGTTTGGGAGAACGGACTGGTGCTAAATCCTGAGGCTTGTTCGAAGCGAGCTCATCAAAGTACGCTTTCTTAATGCTCGTCCTGCGACGGAGATGCCATCCTGCAATGCATCGTAACTGCGGATCTTCTTGGCCGTGATTTCCAGTCCTTGGCTCGCAGCGTCTTGCATCTTGCAGCTGGCAAGTAACCCAACCCACTTCCAAGACTGCTTAAAGAGTCCGTGCCACAACTCTTTAAGCAACCTTTTTAAAGTCGATTTCGGCCTGTGAGCAAGCACTACTGGATACGGGGCATCCGGTTTCAGTGCCCATGAATGTGCTGAAATCTGACAAGACTTGAACTGGTGCCTGCCCCCGAGCTCCCCAATTTCCAAAAGGCTGAGCTACATGCAGCTACCTTCTTGGCTTGGTGCCCGGAAACACCATCTGGCAGCAATGGTGTGGTAACGTGCTTCAGGGATGCCGTCTCTAAGTAAGATCGTTTTGACCCCGCGAATTTGCATAAAGCACCCACTTGAGAGGCGAGCCGAGGCCAACGAAAGCTAGCTAGGCTCTATGTAGCATATGTAGCATGGAGTAGGGTAGAAGAGGAGGAGGGAGGTACATGCCAGCAAAACGCACAAACCTCGTCAAGGGGCTCGGAAAACTCATCGCAGAACCTCGCCAACTCCACAGTGTCCACTTCTCTTTGCACTCCACTTTTCTTTCAAGCCTTCTCCTCCCCAGTGTCCCCATTCTTCCCGTCTTTGCTCCACGTTTCACTCCACTGTCCAGTCTAACTCTGACTTTACTCTGGACTCCCCTCACTCCAGAGATCACTCTAGTTTCTTCACTTTCTGCATCACTCATCATTCCACTCTGCAATGCACTCTTCACTCCACTCTCCAGTCTATACTC